AAAAAAAAAAAAAAAAAAAAAAAAAAAAAAAAAAAAAAAAAAAAAAAAAAAAAAAAAAAAAAAAAACTCTCGTTACAATCTCACATGATCATGCCCTTCAGTTGCTAACGTGGTGTGAACTGTGAGGAAAGTATTAAGGAAAAAGGTAAAATCAACCTTTTCAACTAAGTAAGAAGTAAGAACTTACTGTTCCAGGATGGGTCAAGATATATGCATATCCTTGCACAAGTTTATCGCGCGGAAATGGCCAATGTCCCTGCAAACAAACAAGTACAAAAATTCAATTTCTACTTCCCCGAACTCATTAGCTTGTAATTAATAAGCCCTCAGCCAAGGGAAAACTTAAATAATGGAGGCTAGCTTTAATATTAAGGTGCTTGCAAAATGAGATAAATTAGTATTATATCAGACAATAAATGTGTGGAGGAAAATGAATATTGGCTTTTAATAAGCACGTGGAGTCTGTTCAGGCAGCTTAGTAAAAGGCAATGTACAGAAACTCTTTTGATTCAATAAGAAAGTATCTTCTTTTCTGTGTACATGCTCAATCTTTGGTTTCTTTAGTTTTTCTGCATATGTTTAATCCACAAATGAATCGGTTGGAAAATATTACAATCTCTGATGTCTGATAACCATGGGTCCAAAAAGTTGATGCACAACTTCCTTAAATCCAGACAATTACTCAGACTCTACAAGTATAATATTGAAAGCCTTATATGATATTAATATCCTAGATAAAAAGCATCACAAATTGAACTCGTGACTTCAAAGATATTTGGTTTACTGTTCGTCCCTTTGGCTTCCGAACCAACACACAATATTTCATTCCATTTTCACAATTAAAGACACAGAACGGAACAAAATGCAAGCATGGGGAAGCCGTTTGCATCAAATCAACTCATCCTCTCTAGACTACAATAAGTTTTTCACGTGTGACACAGATGTAAAACTTATCGAAGTTTTACTGCCATTTATATATGCTCATTCATGAAAGTGAAACCTGTTGCCTAATCCAAATGATAAACTCGCTGCTAGTTTCAAACCTGTGTGGACCCAGTGTCATGGTTTTCTAAGAAAGTGACAGCACGCGAAGGCCACCATCCCACTACTCCTGTTGGTTTTCCTTGTGGGTCTATCAACCTCCAATATTGGTTATGAAGGGCAGAATGGAGTATCCCCTGCGAATGAATGATGAATTACATGTCAAGATTATCAAACGAAGAAAACACTTCGATAGGATCCCTACTATAAGAAAAAACAGAAAATATATTGCAATGTTACAATATCAAAGTGAAATTATATTAAATAGTCTTTCAGAGGGTCACCTTTCTCCCATAAGTTCATAAGTTGCAAAAACCTATCAATCCCCTAACATCTCTCTCTCTCTCTATTTATAAGTACCCACCCTAAAATCTACAATGTAATTACAATTATGCCACTACTAACATCCTAATAACATTCCCAATATTTCCCTATTTACTCTAGAATTACCCCGCCCTCTATACACACACTGTCCTCAAAATGTGACAATTGATTCTCAAAAAATAAACTAAATGATTATAGCAGGGCAAAATTCATTAGATGTGTCTAACTTCTTCTCTTCTCTTTCTTAGCCTCATGTTTTTCCACCCTTCTTTGTACTTTTTTCTCTCTTCTTTTCAATTTTTTTTTAAGAAACATTTCATATGACACCCTTAACCCCAAGTCATTCCTTCCAATCCTAAATTTGATTGGAATTTTTGCGCCCTCCTCCTTTTCACAACTCCAACTTCCTAGAGTCACTGCTTTCCGCAACTCTGTCTTTGAAACTCTTCCTCTCCCAATCATTTTATTTTTACTTTAACCACTGCCGTCTCCTTGCAATTCTTAACCTTTGTGATTTCTTCATTCATTGCCAATAATTTTTGTTTCAACATCCAAGAGAAAACTGGCCATCCCCATATTTAGCCTGATTACATGTACACACTGGTTTCCTTGAACACAACAGTTTCAGTCAGTGTTCTCTTGTATTATTGCTGTTGTCTGGCCAACCCTAGCCCTTGCTCACGAAGGTTTGGTTAAACAGGCTCGCTCGATGTTTGCGATTTTCAGCAAATGATGTTTCTTTTCTTGCTCTGATCAGATTCAATATTCATTTCCGTTTTGATTTATGTTCTTTCATCGCTCTTACTCAGACTTATCTTTTCATCGCTCTGATCAGATTCATTTCCGTTCTTCAGAATTTAGGCATTTTTGGATCCCTACGAAATCATTTTTGCATCGATCTTGCCCATCCATTAAAAAAAAAATTGCATTGATCTTGTAATATGTCTCACTTCAAGCCATGGCTTTTAAATCGTCGACTGACTCTATATCTATACCAGTAGTCGTAATATGTCTCACTTCAAGCCATGGCCTTTAAATCGTCGACTGACTCTATATCTAGACCAGTAGTCAAACCGATGCTCTAATACCAAATTGCTAGGACCCCAAATATAAGAAAATAACAATGAAGTTATTCAGCAGTATCACAATATCATATAGAGATGAAAATAGTAATACCCTTTCAAGAGGCTCTCTCTCTCACACAATGAATAATCCCAAAATTCTACCTATCCTCTAAGCTCCCCAATTTCCCCTAGTTGTAACCATCCAGCCATATCAAACGACCAAGTATTACAATTATACCACTACTAAGATCTAGAGAAGTCACCGCATCAATGGCTCTGCCCCTAATTTGTTTCAATTGAAAGAGAAATTTATTAAACCTCCTAATTGAACAAAATAATATTACCTATCGAATTATATAATTATACATATCTAGTCCAAATGCTCAAGCAAATAGTTCAAACATATCTAATTATTTAAGTTATTAATTAAACACCCTAAATTTTTTCCACTCCTCCATTTCTTGCCTTAACAGCGATTCCTATGGGGCGGTCCCGACCGGGTAAATGAACATTCCTACTCAATCCAATTAATAATCTAACACACTTGTATATGAGGAAATATTTGACAAGTATAAAATTTTAAATTTTTCCAGAATTTGTTACAAATATTACTCATTGCATCATTCCGTCCTTCACAATCATCAAAATTAGGAATGAAACATAAAGATTAAGAAGATTACCTTTGTGGTGACATCAAATGCAGAGGAAGTGCCACCAGTGGCATTGATCCAATTAACTATTCGTTGCCGATGAGCATCTAAATATATGAGAATAATTGGCATAGCGTAAGGTCAATGATCAAAAAAACATGGACGGAATTTTTTAGCATATAAACTATACTTGGGAGTTGGACATAGTGTCAACCACATAACATTTTGTTCACAGTTTACTTAAATTGGTACAGCATCAAAATAATGATACGAGGAATTTTTTTACACATCTAACTTGAATTAGTAGTTGTGGACCTAATCACAACCTCTTGATTAAAATAACCCTACTGAAGCTCCGATAGGTTGAAAGAAATCAATGACTGCATGCACAGTCCCTTAAAATCAGAGAATAACAATAAAATAGTTCATGAATACAGTCCAAGAATGTAGAGAAACTTCCTACCTTGGTTATAGCATAAATTCCCATGTTCATAAGCCAAACTGTCCCAGTATTCTCCAATAGCAAAAGTAGGATTTGAAGTCTCAATATATTCTTTAACATATGTACCCGAGAAACCTCTAAAATAACAAAGAAAAAGAATCAATAGCCTGGATCATAAGAATAACTAATTTTGAACTATGATGGTACTTCGATCAAAATTGTCCCAATTGTAATACCAGCTGACTGTAAAAAAGTGAAAATAAAAATTTTGAAACTTTATAAGCTTGATTTTTTATTATATTTATCAAGTTTGGTTGTGTGTGAAGGCTAGTTCATGATGGGAAAAACATAATGAACAGAGAATATTTTCTTCAATTAAGTATTTATTTATTATTTATAAGCAAGCATCTATATTGAAAAAAAGAATGAAAAATTACCTCACAAAATCAAGACGCCAACCATCGAAACCGATATCACTCCGAAGCCAATTTAGCCATTCTTTTATGTCCTTCCTCACGAAGTCCTGTGAATGGTCAATATTTGGTGCTGCATGAAAGATGTCGCCTACAGGCAGCACAAACGAAGAAAAAGTAGCATCAACAACCAAACTAAAGCTTTTCATGGAACTTATTTGACTAATTTCAGAATACTAGTGAGCAACATATCACTTCACTTAATCTTTGTGCGATATTGAACTTACGCTGGTCGTAATTCTTCTCCTTGGAAGATTTTATGCTAAACCATGCAAAAACGAAATTCTATAGATATTCTTATAAAGAAACAATCTTAAACTATAAATTACCAAGAGTTGGAAGTTATTACAGCTAACAAAATTAATTACTTAAAGCACTTCATTTTCATGTCAAGGCAGACACCACAAGGTGATGACACTGACTAGTCATCCACATAGAATCTCAGAGAATAGTATTTGAAATTAAATCAGTAGATAAAGCTAAAGAATTACCACTTTTAGGATTTCCTCGACCCTGAAAATTAGGATCATCACAAACAATTGCTTCAGGTCCCCAAGCTAGCTTGCCACCAAAAATGTTCCAAACACCATTGGGACTCTGAAAACAGAAAGAATCCCAAATTACATAAAGGTACAACTACTCTGAGGCAGCACCAAAAAAAGGTCTGTTTGTGTCATGGAAAAATTCTACATGTTTTAACCATTAATGCACAAAGCACAGCAGACACCTGACACAAGGGTCATTCAACACAGTCTCTGAAGTCAGGAATACGAAAAAATATACCTTTGAAATTTCAAAAGAAACAAATAACTAAAATTGAGAAAATAGATTCAGTCCTATCCATTGAGGAGACACATTTAATCAAGAAATATCAGTTTCAAATTTCTTTGGTTGTTTAGAAATGTAACCATCTTAAACAACATAAATTCATGAAAAAAATTGAAATAATAAGTAAATAAGTAATATTCACTGCATGAGTGTTGCAATTTCAATTATTAGATAAGTTCTGAAGTGCTGAAATGCTACATGAAAAACACATATAAAAGGATGTGATTTTATTAACAGAAAAGGAAAAAGGGAGCTAAGAGTAAAATAGTAAACAATAACAGTATGGACAGGAGTAGACCTGCTTGTGTGCACATCTATGATTGAGTACAACATCACCGAGGGCCTGGAGGCAGATCCAAATAATATTGGTCAAAAAGAAGGGGGAACTGAACACTAAACAAGACATTAAAATAAAGCTCATACACCATTGTTATCACCTACAGAGTTTACAACTTACTAAAAACTATACTATATAACTAGTGAGAGTTACATGCCCCTCGTAGACTTGCGCATTCACAATTGAGGTCTAACAGAGCTCTATTTCATATAATTTGCAACTTTCTGACATGGCATGGTTTTATTTTCTTAATATAATAACATGTGGGTCAGGAGATTTTGGCACAGCGCTCCAGATGCAGAAATCTCTTTCAATTTTTTTTTTTTTTTTTTAAAAACTATCTTCCTCTAAGTTTCCTTTTCAATGATATCTTGAAAATTAAGTAGCGTAACTTTCTGACAGTTTCTAACACCTGTCTCTGATGATACAGTTTAACATATAAAATTCTACAAACAAACACTTGCTTGAATATATTCTTAATTTCTTCACATTCCAAGAATAATTAAAACAGATAGAGGAATTAAATAAATACGCAATACTTTGGACAAGTTTCAGACCATGACATACCAGAAGATCTTGAGAATGAAATTCTTCTATACAGTATTTGAGTTCTTCCTCAGATCCATAAGATGAGTTCAAATTATATAGGTCAGATGGCATATAACCTGTAAGATATTCCCCACTGTTCATAAGTTGTAGCCCAGACATCGAAATTATCCCACGTTAATCAAACTGGGAAAGAAAGATTTAGAAGCGTTTGAACAATAGTAGATGCTATGAAGAGCTTATATTTTATTTTATTTGCCTCAAACAATATAGAATAAAAATGAAATGGAGCAAACCTTGTGGAGCAACAGATTCTGTTGGTGGTGGGAGCCACACTGCTGTTATCCCAGATTGGGATAAATCAGATGCTTTGGCAGCTAATTCCAGGTACCAGCGTCTTCTCCAGCTTTCCCAGTTGAAACCTTGAAACTTCAAGAGGTATCCATTAACAATCATCAGTCATGGTTGGAGCGGATTGATAATAATAAAAATGTTGTAATAACTGAAAAAAAACAATAGGTTCTCGATGGGGGGGAAGTCCACCAATAAATCAATGGAAGGGGGGATTTTTTCCCCGAAGATTCTGAACTTCCCAATATTGGCTATTTCTAAATAGCAAGTACTTGAAACTGAAAGTTTAGCATAACTTTCATATGACTTTTAGGGGAAATATCATCATTTGAGCAGCAACAAATAAATGGAAAGGAAAAAAAAAATTATAGATTCTAATTGTAATTCCACCGGAAGTGAAGAATTTGAAACAGGAACATAAAAGGCCAGATTGAGATGTAAGCAATATATACAGCTAACATTGTGCCATGATCTATAGGACTTATTCCTTTTCAATGAATAAAAGCACTAAGAAACATGACAAAAAACCTGATACCAATGGACGAACGGTGTGATACCAATCCCTTACTAACTTAAGAACAAGAGATCAACTACAAGAAAGTCAATCAGCAATGTCATTTATTTTAAAGCTTGAGTAAATCTAGTGTGATGCAACTAAGAAACATGACAAAAAAACCTGATCAAACTCAATTGGAAAATATTTTTAAACAATTAACCCAATATCCAAACTAAATATTGAGTTTGCACACCAAGGAATTTAATTATGTAAATCAGAATAGAATGCATTAATTTATTGATGTCATCAGAGAAAACTAACCACAATTTCGTGTCCAGTGCCAGTACCGGGCTCTGCATCAAAGTCCACAAGAATTGAATCTTAGGAATATATAATAAAACTTTTTCTTGATTACATGACAAGAAAAAGGACAAAGCCAGCTGACCTAATTTTGTTTGATCCGGAGTTCTTTGCCATTGTATGGTTTTTCGTTGCAGTGCACGTTCAAGAGCCTTTCTTTTCTTTTCTATTGATTCTTTCTCGATAACATGCTCAATTAGTGTATCCCCCACTTTTGGCTTTTCTTGAGCAATTGACCATACTTCTTCAAGTTTGGGCAAGTCCAATGATCTAAACTTTGATGTTGAAACTTCAGATATATCAATCTTTCTTGGAGGAAACTTGGGGCGAATGGTTCCAATTCTTCTTGCCATCCATTGAGGTATCTCTCTTCGAGGACCATCACTCAAGAGTTTCCACTTTTGCGACTCATCATTTGTCAAGAGGTCTATCCTCCCACCATTGACAACATAAGCTGCCTCTTCATTATCTTTACCAAGGGTTCTTTCCTTCGATAAAAATGACTCAGCCATTTCAGCTCGTTGTTGCCACATCTTTGTTGCAGCTTCCGAAGCCCTCAACAATCTTTGCAGTGCTTCACATCTTCTCATATAGGCATTGTCTTTTGAATGTGCAGTTTCTTTGGCAGCTTCAATGGCAGACTTAATACCTTCAAGCTCAGCCTTGAAAGCTTTGGAAGCAGCTTTCTTCTTGTCTGTGAAATCTTTCTTGATTTTCTCCATCATCAATTTAATTTCTCCCTCCTGTTGGATTATCTTTTCCATACTTGAGTTTTGAAATTCAAGCAATGCTTTTTCAGCATTTTTGGCTCGAATTTCTGATGCAGTTGCCTGTGCTCGGGCTTGCTCCAGTTCCAACTTAAGGTTATCAACATCAGCTCTTGCAAGTGATAAGTGAGATTCTAATTCATCGACGACACCTTTCAACTTAACACTTTCTGATTGGATAGAAGCGATCTCATCTAGAGGATATACCTCATCAGTAAATGTAGCTACAGCCTTATTTGCATGAGCACTAGCTTTTTCAGCCACATCCAATGCCTTCTCAATAGCTATTTTTGATTGTTCTACAAATGATAGCATTGAACCTTCAGTAGCATCGCTGATCTGTTTTTCAATTTCATAAGATGCCTCGACAGCAGAAGTTTCTGCAGCTGAAACTCTTAATTGAGCATCTTCTAATATGTGTGACGTGGCCTGCTCGAAGGCAATTGCAGCTAACTTTTCAACTTGTACTGCAAGATCAATAGCATCCTGCTTTGCAAGGACCAGCTTAGATTCCAAAGCAAACTTCTCACCTACTGATTCCTCAAGTTTTTTATTAAACAGTGATCTGGCAGCCTCGAGTTCTGAAACTGCCAATTCCTTATCATGCAATATAGTAGCAAGATATTCTTTTTGTTTAGCCTCATAGCGAGTTAACTTCTCAAGCAGTTGGTCTGTCTCTTTCTCTACAGCTTCTTGTCTTGTTTGAGACTCCAAAAGCGCCTTTTTAACTGCAAGAATTTCATCTTCTTCTGACCCCAATATTTCACTTCTTCCAGTTGAAGGATCGTTTGAATGGTCCTGTCACAGAACCAACAGCCATAAGTCAAGTTATAGTTTCTCAGATTTGATATAGGATGTAGTTGAATACAGAAGTTAAATTCAAATTTTGCATTCCAGGAAAATAGTTAGCCTTGCATTTCCATTCAACTTGATTTAAAAAAAAAAAAATTGAATAAAAAATTAATTAATTAAAGAAAATCCGATATGATGATTCATAACTCTGTTCGAGCAGTTAGTGCGCAGATTCTAATAATGAAAACAATAGAGAACAACATGGGTTCAAAGATTTCCATACCCGGCTAGAAAAGGCAACAGTAATTGGTTTATGCAGGAAGTTGTCAGTGTATGATACTTTCCTGCATGAACATTGACAAATCGATCGGAATTAAAAAGAAATAAAAGAGAAGGACGATGAGGAAAATCAAGCTAAAAACCAAATCTCGTCCCCATTTTTCCTGGAGAGAAAAGACATGCAGGCAGAGTAAAAGCATACGTACCGCTTCCAGGTAACTGTAACTGTTCGTAGATTGTGATGGCAATTTGATGACCGTCTGCCATATGATGAGCCTGGAGTGACAATAGGGCAACGCGGAAGGATTTCAATAGCTGCGTCAAGTAAAGGGAATGGACCCATTACTTCCTGTACGGAATCAAAATCAATTTTACGCAATGAAACCAGAAATCAAATTACATTTTATATTGATCAGATTTCAACCACGGAAATACATAATACATGCTCTAGTCTTCTGTGGTTCAAATTTCTCCACCCGCCAAAAACACAATAAAGTTAAACCACAGAACATAACAAATTGCACGAATGAAATACAAACCAAACGTCGATCCATAACATTAACTAACACAACAATTTTCAAAAAAATCATCTAGAAAATGGAAAACGACAAAAAAACAGGAGAAAATCAAGAAAAACTGAAAGCCACCGACATTAAGAAAGACAAAAATGATCTTAAACAGGCAAGGAAATGAAAATGGGAGTAACAAACTGAATGATCTGATCAAAATCAAAATCAAAATCAAAATCAACGATGATTGAAACCTGTAAAACTATGCAACATCGGAAAAGTTAATAAAAAAGAAAAAAAAGAAAAAAAACTCGAAAACCTGATTTGAATGGCGAAATCAAATGGAGAACAGGAATCGCATTCTTCAGATATCGACTTGGAAAGAGTAGGAAACAGAAAATGTAATAGACGATGAATCAGGTAAGGGTGGATTCTTACAAAGAGCAGTGGAAGAAAAAGAAGCTCCAATGGCGGGGAGAGCGGTTTTTATATGGCTAAGAGTTAATCATTTTTTTTTTTTTTTAATAATTAATCTGTTGACAGCTACTTTTTTGACGATGCTTCCCCCGAGCGAGCAAAAAATGCTTCCACCCTTTTGGAAAAGCTGGAATATATTTTATTAATAAATTATAAAATATATTTATGATAGGGAGAAATTAGATTATAGGGTAAGAGCTACTTTTTAATTAAAATCCAATAAAAATATGTATATATAAAATTCATATAACATAATATAATTGTAATTTAAAAATTAAAAATCCTTCCCAAATTAGTAGATTTGGAATTTGGTAAAAAGTCAAAGCAATAATCGGCTATCCGTCAGGGTAGTAATTGCAATCCACTTATTTGAACTTTTCTCGGGTCACGAGTGTGTGTGTTAGTTATTTTTCTGCTCCATTTTAGATTTCCTGTAATCTAATTTAAATTTAAATTCAAATTTACTATATTTAAATCTATTTTATTTTCTTTTTTATTTATTTATTTATTTATTTATTTATAAGGATTAGGGTTTTTTTATTACAAAATTTTATATATATATATATATATTTTTTTTTAATTTAATATTGCAAGTATGAAGTAATAAATGCTATATGTGAATGAGATATTGAAAATTGTGTTTTTATCCCTGACATATTCGAAATTCACAAAATTGAGCTAAATTATTCATTGTATATAATATTTTTCTATCGATGTGTACAACAATATTTACGTTATGGATATCACGACACAACAATGTTGCGACCCGAACCACATTTTTGTATTGGATTTAAAATAAAATTTAACAAATTTCAATGGAAAAAATGAGTCAAGTTTGGACGTATTGAAAGTTTTGTTTTTAAAAAAATCTGAATTCATGAAGTTTTTTTTTTTTTTTAGCTACATCACTTTCCTAAAGCAAAAGAACAAGACAAAGACGATAATTATACAAAACTGACATGCTCTTACAAATTTCTCTTTTTGTATCACTATCATACGTAATATAACATAATAGTCTTAGCTCACCACTAGCAGATATTATCTACTTTGAGCTGCTACGTCTCACGATTTTAAAACATGTATACTAGGAAAAGGTTTCTACACCCTAATAAGGAATGTTTTCACTTCCTCACCAACCGATGCAGGATCTCATATATAAAGTCTCGTGGATAAAGATATCCTTAATATAAATTTTATCACTGATGTGTAAATTTTGGATTAAATATATCACTAATTGACAAAACTAATCATGTTTGCATCCAGACTCCAGGAATTACAAGGGTAAACTCCAAAAAAAAAAAAAAAAAAACAATTATAAATAAGAAGGCAATATCAGGTTTTCACTCAGCCCATTAGCAAGCTCTCTTCAAAAGGATAAGAGTTTGGTTTGGTTTTACAACTAAACGGACCAAAAATGTGAAATTTACTATTTCTACTCCAGAGCCTCTGGCACCAGCTCTACCGAAACTAAAAGGAAAACGGACCTGAAAGAAAGACTCGAAGAAACAAGGAGGGGCAAGGATTGCAGCATCAGAGCCTTTCGTACTCGGTCACAATTAAGGTGGTCGGTTTCTGGTAAATTGATATCTTTACCAGCACAGCTTTCTGCCTTACGACACGCAAATTCCCAACGAGATGCGAAGTTTAGAGTCTGCCCCACCACTGACAACACTGTCACCTTTCCACCAATCAGCAGCCAGTACCTGAAATTTGCAAAATATCACCATTGTTGGAAAACAATGAACCAAGGTTGCAAAGGGCAAAGGCTACATGGCTAAGGAGAAGAATGGGTACCTTGTCTTTGTGAGAGTCAATTACAGCTAGAGGCCACTGTAAGATGAACAAAACAATATTTCTAGTGAGGCGTGATGCATTTATAATTCAGAACAAACGATAGAAAGCAAGAATATTCGAGTACCGCAGTTCTTAGATCCCACAGCCTAACTTTCCCATCATAAGATGCAGACAGCAAATGGAAACTAGATTTATCGTGCCACTTGCAAGATGAAATCCAGGATTTATGGGACAGGAATTGAAAGATAGGAGAAGATGTGCCTATACGGGGAAAAAAACAATATTAGAAACAGAAGTGTTTTAGAGGGAAATCTCTTTGCAGCCCTTTTTTCCTATTCCCATATACCTGGCTTACGAGGATCCCATATCCTAACGGTGGGGTCTGAGCCACCAGCAGCAATGAGAGTGGAACCTTCACCTCCAACGTCAAGGCAGTTGAGTGCCTTACCACAAAACTGCCAATGAAGATAACTCTTTTATGAACGGATTTATCTTTCATTAAGATAATATGAGAACATAAGTCATTCAGAGAAGAGGAACCTTGGCTAACTTTACGCTCAAATGCTGCTTCATTGAGTAGGTAAAAACTAATAACATGCTCATAAATGGAGATTTTTCAAGTGTCAAATATTCTTTACTACTACTTATAGTTTCAAATTTCACATTATCAAAGCAAACAACCTGTTGAAGTTCTTTCGCTCAGAGATCAAGCTTTTTCAGACCATATTTCCATAAAACCTTGGTTTCTAAAGAAAATTGCATGAAAATGGCGAATGTATATCGTCTTATGAATGCCCACCTCATATATTTTAAACAAAAACTTTAAAAAGTCAAAGTAAAGTTTACTTCACTAACACTAGCACGAAGAGAAACATAGAGAGAGTTGGGAGACGTACAATATTAAACAAATCTTTGCCCGTCTCGACATCCCATCTTCTTATAGAATGGTCCCACGATGCTGAATAAATTTCTCCATGCTGCGGCCACACAACTGCTGACACACATTGTGTATGCCCAACAAGTGTAGCAACAGAGTTCCCCTGTTAAATATATTTGTTACACATAACTTAACCAAGCCATAAGCTCTATTATAGAACAAAATTAAATGCAGAAGATAAAAATTTGTTATTAGGTCTGAAAAGAGGCAACTCGAATTAGTCAAAATGGGGGGGGATTCTAGTCACAAAGTGACTCGACCTATGACCATTCAACGAACTTAAATATTTAACTAGTATTGAGGCATTCTTATGCTTAGAGTTCATTACCAAAATCTTCATTTTCCATCATCCCCTTGAAACTGGAGCTTCACAGTACATGTTCTCCAGTGGTAAACTAATATGGTGTCGTGCAACATAACATGATGTCTAGCCAAATTAACTTGAAAGAAAACAAAAACTACGTTTTACCTCTAACTGAGATTCTTCAACCTGGTCATTCTTTCTTCTCTTTTTAATGGAGACGTCGCCTTCAGAATGAGTTTCATCTGTTTGCCATAAATTGATTGTGCAATCCCAAGAACCTGAACAGATCTAAATTACATAATAAAAAGATCCAAGTATTATGAGCTAGAGATGTAAGTAGACAGTTGTAACTCAGTTTTACTTGGAAGAAATGAAAAAAATACAGCACAGCTATAAGAATGAGATTATACCAGGTCTCCAGATTTCTGTGATGCAACACTTTGTACAGACAATCTATGTCCTTTCAATATTTTGAATGGCCTTATCTTGGTAGGGTTGCTATCCCTATCGTCTTTTGAATACTTCAAGTGGAAACAACACAAAAATTGTTTTTAATTATCAATGACATCAGTCCAACTTTAAAGCAGTACTTTCTCAATGTTACCTTCCACAGCCTAAGTGTTCGATCCTTCGAAGCAGTGGCAAGAGTGACACTAGCTGCTTCTGTATTAGCATGGGCAAGAATTAATAAAACAAACATAGAGACTAAACTAGAGAGTGGAATAAGAATTGAAAATAGAAATATCAATTGAAATTTAACCTTGAATTAGATCACCACATTTTACTAAAATAATACAATATAATAAATTAGAAAAAGAGGTATTTTACTGGCAAATCAAAGATAGTTCAGAGCCACAAGTTCTTAGAACCATAGATTAAATGTCTCTAAAATGGATAGGATCTAGATAATACATGGCAAACACCACCGCATGCACAAGAAAATAGAAATCCAGACATAAGGAATTCTAGCACTTTCAGAGGAGAAAACTTGAGTTAAAGAACCTTGGAACGTTGAAGTGCTTCAGCATGTACAACAAATTTTGAATCAAAATTTCTCACACACAAAAGTGATTCAAAATTTCCAATATATTAACACAACATTCTGACACCAGGTGTTAACAAGAAATAACGATAAGTTTGATATAGAAAACAATTAAAAGCTAAAACAACTGGCAAAGCATTGTTCAGCGTGGATCATGTTGTAAGAGCTAACAATTTAAGTAAATACCTTCAGGATTAACAACACAAACAGAAGATATGGCGTCCTTGTGACCTTCAAGAATATGTGTACACAATCCTGCAGATTCCCAAACCCTAAGAAACAATCGTAGAAGCTTTTAGCTAACATAACAATCCAATTCATGACAATAGTAGCAAAGGCTGCTCAATTCATGGGTTTCTTCAAGTACTAAAAAAATATTACAAAAAATTACATATTACCTTCCTAAGCCATCGTAACAACCTGTCAGAATGAACCTACAAAAGACGAGTGAGTACAAGTTCAGATTGTATGTATAAAAGTATGCATATGATTAAATTACTTCGTTTAATAGGACACCTCTACTCACTAATTTGAATCCTAATCGTAATGATACAGCAGTAACAGTTCAATGAATGTGTATGTAAGCTGTTACTGCTGAAAAAAAGATTCAACACAAACAAGTAACACATAGTATGCACATTCAGTAAATTACACTATGATGTGCTACATGCAGCGATAAAATACACCAGCTTAGGACAAAAATGGCTCATTGTGTTAGTCTTTATCTTTAATTAACAGTTGGACAGACTAATCCAAGAGGTGGAAATATGACGTCAGTCATTACCACTAAACAGAGATGTGAACAATAAATCTTCAGAATTCGAAAGAATTTTAAATTGAAGCATGGTTACTGAACTTAAAAAAATTGATATGCAAGTAACAATGAGAATCATGGATCATCTAGAGTATTACAA